GCGCTAGCAGATTCACCAGCGCCAACACCCCTAGCAGCTCCAGCTCCAGCAGCTCCAGCAGATCCAGCAGCACCAACCCTAGTAGGACCGGTAGCTCTAGTATCGCCAGCACCTCCAGTAGTACCTCCAGCAGGACCAACTCCAGCAGCCCCAGCAGCACCCCCAGTCCCTGCAGCTCCAGAACCGCCAGTATGAGTACCACCAGGACCAGCAGCAACAGTAGTACCTCCAGCTCCCACAGCACGGCTCCAGCGTCGGGCAAACCACTCGCGTAGCTCCTGTGGAGAGAGTGGCTCCTGCCTCGACGAAGCACCGCCAGAGGCCACACGAGCAGACCCAGCACCCCCAGGCTCCGCACCCCCAGGCTCAGCACCCCCAGGCTCAGCACCCCGAGACTCAGCACCTACAAGCCTAGCACCCCCAGACTCAGCACCCCCAGGCTCCGCACCCACAGGCTCAGCACCTCCAGACCCGGCACCCGCGGGCTCAGCACCTCTAGCAGCACCAGCGTCAACAGCTACCTCGACAGGCTCGTCTGCGTCTACCTGGGACACACCTGACGGGGCAAGACCCTGAGGGGGGAGGGGGTCTACCGGGGGAGGACCTGGCGCAAGGAAGAGCGGCGACGGGGGGAGGGGCGCAGTGCGGTAGGGGAAGAGACGGTAGTAAGGCACCGACTCATCGATGGTGACGTCCTGGGAGGACAGAACACGGCGCGAGGTGGGGTGGTAAAACTGCCAACCAGGCGCGTCAGGGGGGAAGCCAAGGAAGACGCAGGGAACAGCACGGGGGGACAGCTTGTCCGCAGACAAGTCGCGGACAAACGCCCGAGATCCCCAGACCCGAAACGCAGACGCATCGCCAACCTTCCCCGTCCACCGCAAAGTGGGGGAGGTCTCTGGCAAGGAGACCCGGGGCTGAAGGTTGAGCTGATGTGCTGCGTACTGAACCGCAAACGGCCACAGAAAATGGGGGGCAGCCGCATGGATCATGGACGTACGAGCGACGTCCATGACCATGCCAATGCGGCGCTCAGCAATCCCATTTTGCTGTGGAGAGGCCGAAAGCGTGAAGGTCTGGCGGATGCCCTGTGCAAGACAGAAGGCTCCCAGACGGGCAGAGGAAAACTCCCCGCCTCTGTCAGAGTGCAGATGCAGAACAGGAAAGTCCGAGCCGAAACTCTCTCTGAGCTGGAGACGAGCTGCGCGGATTCAGTCAATCAACACCTTAGTGACGTCACCCTTGCTGCGCAAGGGGAAGACCGTGGTGTAACGCGAGTAGTCGTCAACCACCAACAGGAAGTAACGCTCGTGACCCTGGCCACGGACGCGGGCGGGGCCCCACACGTCCATGTGAAGAGTCTGCAGCGGAGCCTCTATCGGAGGAAACTCGGAGGAGTGAGGGGCGGCGCGCTGTCGCCCCTCGACACAGGGGACGCAGGAAGGGGCAGGCCCCGGAGGTAGGGGAGGGAGAGACCGGGGGAGACCAGAGACAAGGACACGGGAGGCTATGCCTCGGAGACGAGGCAGGGAGGGGTGACCAAGGCGGTGGTGCCAAAGGAGAGTCTGGTGACACAGGAGACGACACGAGCAGGGAGCAGACTCAGGACCAGACCTGGACGCTGCAGCAAACACCTGACTCGACGCAGCTACCTGACCAGACTCAGCAACCGGAGGAGACTCAGTAGTCAGTGTGTACAGGCTCGACCCCGGCCGACGGGTAAACGTTGGCAAGTGTCGGCCCGTCCGCGCACACGTACAGTGGGTCACTCGCTGACTCGCAGGAGTGAACTGGTCAACCCCCCGATCCTGTAGATTAGCACCACTCACCAAGTTCGTAGAGAACGAGGGGAGGTAGACACCTGACAGGGTGCCAGAGGGGGCTGCCGAACAGGGTAAGACAGTGGAGAAGCGAGCAAGGACAGGACCCCCAGAGGGGTCCGTCAGGGAGACAGCAACCGGCCGACTGAGCGGCGTAAGCGTGGTGCGGTCTCGAAAGAAGGAGCGGGAAGCACTCGAGTCAAGAGTGAAGGTGTGTAAGGCCTGAGACGACGTGGTACTTGAGAGAGCTGACTCACCAGCACCTGGGGCAGCAGACGCACCAGCACCTAGAGCAGCAGCCTCACCAGCACCTAGAGCAGCAGCCTCAATGCCCGGGTCAGGCGGAACACACAGGTAACAGTCACCCTCATCACTAGTAGGCAATGCATACATGGCAGTGAGGATAGCACCATAGTCAAGAGTATATATATCTACCCTCAGCCGAAGCAGCTCCACCCAGTCGGGGATCTCAGCCGCGTCGCCAAACTCCGTACGCTAGGCGTCACTCAGACGGGCGAAGCAGCGGGACTCTGCGTGACCAAACGTCCCGCAAGGCTGACCAGTCCGAGCACTAGTGCTAATGACGTACGGACAGCGAGCAATACCCCGTGACCCGTCACGCTGAGCGTACCACTCACGAAGCTGCTGGGGCGAAAGGACCGCTCGCGGACGACGCTGAAGCTGCACCTGGCCACTACAAGCAGCTGCCGAACTACTCACTCCAGGACGACTCCCACTACGGCCACCCTGACAACCCCAACTAGCGTACCACGTACGAAGCTGTTGGGGGGTGAGGGACTCACCCGAGCGACGCTGGAGCTGCATCTGGCCACGCCAGGAGCAGCAGGAGCAGTAAGAGCAACAGTAACAGCAGGACGAGCAGGGCAGTACTCACCAGTGGCGAGAAGGGCAGGCGTACGACGGTGGCAACGGCGAGGCCGCTACCACTGTAGAGCGAGAGCTCCGCGGCAGCTGCAGGGGTGGCTGCTCCAGGGGCGGTAGTTGTAGGGGCGGCTGCTGCAGGGGCGGCTGCTCCAGGGGCGGCTATTGCAGTGGCGGCTGCTCCGGGGGCGGCTGCTGCAGTGGCGGTTGCTCAAGGGGCGACTGCTGCAGTGGCGGCTGCTCGAGGGGCGGCTGCTGCAGTGGCGGCTGCTCTAGGGGCGGCTGCTGCAGTGGCGGCTGCTCCAGGGGCGGCTGCTGCAGTGGCGACTGCTCCGGGGGCGGTTGCTGCAGTGGCGGCTGCTCTAGGGGCGACTGCTGCAGTGGCGGCTGCTCCAGGGGCGGCTGCTGCAGTGGCGGCTGCTCCAGGGGCGGCTGCGGCAGTGGCGGCTGCTCCAGGGGTGGCTGCTGCAGTGGCGGCTGCTCCAGGGGCGACTCGGCTGCTGGGCGACTCGGCAGCTCAGCTGCTGGGCGGCGCGGCGACTCGGCTGCTCGCTAGGGGCGGCGACGGGGCCGGATAGGGGCGGCGACGGGGCCGCTAGGGGCGGGGAGCGGCGACGGGGCCGCTAGGGGCGGCGACGCGGCCGCGTAGGGGCGGCTACAAGGCCGCGTAGGGGCGGCGACGGGGCCGCGTAGGGAGGGAGGCGGCGATGAGGCCGCTAGGGGCGGCGACGGGGCCGCGTAGGGGCGGCTACGAGGCCGCGTAGGGGCGGCGACGGGGCCGCGTAGGGAGGGGAGCGGCGACGGGGCCGCTAGGGGCGGCGACGGGGCCGCTAGGGGCGGCGACGGGGCCGCGTAGGGGCGGCGACGGGGCCGCGTAGGGGCGGCGACGGGGCCGCGTAGGGAGGGGAGCGGCGACGGGGCCGCTAGGGGCGGCAACGGGGCCGCTAGGGGCGGCGACGGGGCCGCGAAGTTCTCCGCCGTCGCGTTCCTCCGCACGCGCACCGCAGAGCCCACAGTCGACACGCAGTTGGTGCGCACGTACGTTACGTTGCCGGGCGCCCCGCCGATGTCGGCCTGCACGATCTTCCCCCACGCCACGCGGGACAGCGACAGCTGCTTCTCCGTTTTCACCTCGCCCACCACATGCACCGTCACGGGCTTGTCGCGGCACCGCTTCGTGTTGTTCACGCAGCTCACCTTGTAACACGCGCCGCAGCGCTTGTGGAAGGCGGCGGGAGGAAGCTTCACGGTAAGAACCTTGCCAAAGAAGGGGTTGGCGGAGTAGTTGCCATAGTAAGAGCACGTGGTATCCTTCCCCTAGCTCATGCCGTTGCTCCGCCTCGCGCTCGTCAACGTGAGGCTCACGCCGGCAGACCCGACACGGTTTGGGTGAGTCGCGTTTGCGCCCGCAGTCTTGTTTGCGGCCGCAGTCTTGTTTGCGGCCGCAGTTTTGTTTGCAGCCGCAGTTGCATTTGCTGCGGGAGTGGCAGCGGCGGCGGAGAGGAGCACCGCGGAGGCGAGGCAGACGAAGAGAAACGAGGCCTTCACGGCCGCCGGGATGAAACGAGCCAATTTTATTTTCCTGGGAGTTTCACGAGAAGCTGAAAAGAGGGCTTACAGGTAATTGCGCTATCTACTACTATTTGTGAGTAAAGGACAGTAAGAGGACGATTCGGAGTGCTGATGAGAATAGTGAGACCCGTCGTTCTTTCTATACTTCACTTGTGCATAAATGAGAGGGTGCGTAGGATCCCGAAATCCCTGTGGAGCCGCTGTCTGAAAGGCCGCCGTGAGTTGCGGGGAGATACGAGGTGCAGGTGGTTTGCTTGCTTGTGTGGGAGTCTGCGGGGCGAAATCTACCGACTTGGCGAGTTGGATTCGTATAATGGTAGCAGAAAGGGGTAAACTCTGTGCTCCTCACTCTGCCTATCACGTAACCTGCGATGTGAATTTTTTTCGTCGATTCGCGCGACCCAATATTGTACAATTATCCACTCGCGCCGTGAAATCTTGCTTTCGAGCATTTGACAAAACCACTGCAGCTTGGTCAGTGGCGTGTAGAATGAGCAGCTTCCCACTAGTGATACAGTACTTGTTCCAGCTCCTTTTCCACGAGGGTGGCATGTACACTGTGTTTAGGACTTGTACTCCATGTATGAATCGAAAAGCAATCCTGTGGACATGGATTTGCAATGCTCATAGCAGTAGTACCAACCCTCCCTCCCACTCCTGCTATGAGCTTCATCTCATCTCAACTCCAGTGTCCCTTGTTCCTCAGAATAAAAACACTATGCAGGCCTACAACCATACAACGTTAGAGATCATTATAGTCGTGATGCTTCTGCCTTTTGCAGTCACAGCCAGAGACTGGGGCATGTCGTCGTAACTTTTGGTGGCAACCACCTCTGCATCCTCACTCGCAGACGTCCGCTGCACCTCCACCACATACGGGCGCGACCCGTCCATCAGCCCAAAAAACTCAAATTTGAATGTGATACTGTAGTCATCGCCATCCTGGTTCACTATGTAGATAGAGATGAAGTTCTTATCGGGGTTGAAGAACGACGCAACACAGTGGTGACAGCCATTGGTCGTCTCGATTCTCAGCGGCATGCTCCCTCTCGGCGACGCCCGAGCCATCTGCTTCATCATGTGAAACTTTTTCGAGAATGTAATTTCCAGCGGCACAATTGCAGGATCGGACACATTGTTGTGCGTTATTGTAAACAGCCCCCACTTGGCAGAGTTGGGGTTATTCGGGAGGTATGGGTTGATCGCCTGCCAGTAAATCCATGCTGAGGCGCCCATGATGTTGATTGCTTGGATCGCCAATCGCATCATGAACAACCCCACATCGGTGTCCTCCCCTCCCGCCCACATCGGCCCAATCTCCGACACCCACACCTCCTTCCCCACATTGATCCCCATCCGCGCTAATCCAACGTACAGCTTCTCTATGAACTCCCTGGTATCCGTGGTGGTGGGTGGTGGCGGGACATATCCATGCACCGAAATCCTTTTCAGACCGGATAGTAACTGCCCGGAAAATAGATTCGCGTTTCGCATCGTGAACCCGACGAAGCTGTCGAACCCCGCGACGCGCGTTGAAAGCTTCTTCCGTTGCAGCGCACCCGCCACGGCTGTGCAAAGCCTATCCAGCTCAGCAGCAATGTAACTGCAACCCTCGTGCCGCCCCCCCTGCGACCACCACCCCTCCAGGGGCTCATTCGCCGGATTCATCGTGCTGAACGTCACGTTCCACATGTGGCGAAAATGGGCCGCTAAAGTGGCTAGATACTCCACAAACGCGCCGTACATATCCGGTCGGAGATTCGATTTGCCGCCCACATTCCCCGACGTATCCCCACTGATGGTCATCCACCAAGGGGCTGAATAAGCGATTGACTCCACCTCATCTACACCTCTCTGCATCGCTCCTTTCAAAACCTTCCGCTGTTGCCAGTCTGCCGCCCAGACGTACGGGGCGGCCTTGCTCGGCTTGTAGCCGGGGAGGTTGGCCTGGTGCATGGTGTCTTTGGTGAGCTGCGGGCTGTTGGTGGCGTTGAAGCTGGCGCCCAGCAGATAGCGCGCGAGGTTGAACCCGATTCCCGTGGACAGCGAGAAGAGCAGGTCCAGCAGCATGGTGAGCTGATTGGCAGGCAGCTTGCCAATGTAGTTGGCGAACCTGGCGTGAAGAAGGGGGGCAGGGTGAGGTTGGGGAGGTGGGGAAGATAGGGGACGGGGGAAGGGGTAAGAATGGGGGAGGAGGGGAAGGGAGAGATTGTGTGGGTGGGAGAGGAGAGGGGGCGCGGAGGGTGGGTGGGAAGGCACGCATCAAGCGACGAACAAGGCCCTGGGAGGGCGCAACGGGCAGGTCAAGGAGGAGGTAAGGAAGTGGGGAGGGGGAGAGGAGCGGAAGAGGGGAGCGGTGTGGGAAGGGGGTAAGGCCGCAAGAGCAAGGGCCGAGTTTGTGGCGTTGGAGAGGGTGAGCAGTTGAGATGGACGGGAGGCAGCTGGCCTGAATAACTGGTGAACGAGGGGTCTGAAGGGATGAGAGAGGAAGAAGGGCAGCGAAGAGGGTTGAAAGTGGCGCCTATTCTATCTGTGCCATGCGACCCGTTGCACTCTCAATCGCACACTGACACTCCCATGCACTCAAATTCCCATGCACTAACAGCCCCATGCACTAACAACCCCATGCACTAACAACCCCATGCTCTCATGCCGCCAGCAAAAGCGTGGCACCAATGTTTGTAAATATTGCTCTCTGCCACTCACCACGCCAACGACGTGCCCCAGCCTCTCCACGTCTACCCACTGAGATCCGGACTGATGGTGATGCTGGCTGGGCTTGGCAGACGGAGAGGGGGGGGAAGGGGGAAGGGGAGGGGAGGGGAGAGAGAGTGGAGGGAAGGTGTATTCAGATTAGCAGATGATTTCACGGCTGATAGTGTTGCTGCCGGGCATGGAGGGGCACAGAAGCGAGAGAGGGGGAAGGGAGGGGCAGCGGGGGAGGGAGGGGGGAGTAAGGTAAGGGCACAGATTCGCCCGGAACGGGATGGTGATGTAGGAAAGAGGGGGAATGGGAAGTGAGGGAAGAGGGCAGCAGAGGTGGATTGGTGATCATTCCACATGCCAGTGCACACTTGCTGCCACACCACATTTCTCGTATCACACCTGCTGTCACTCATTCCATGGTGAGGGATCGCAAATTAGCGTCTTGATGCAGTGGGAGTGTGCATCGCACTGCCATATCCTTCTCAACCCATCTCAACCCATATCAGCTCAACACCCTCCCATCACCCCACATCACCGCCCATCACCCCCCATCATCGTCCATCACCGGCAGTCACCATGCAAGCCCTACCAGCGGAGCGACACACGATGATCACTTCATTCGGCAGGGTGAGGGTTGACGCCGCCGCCGGCTCAGCTCTTCCCGGCCCCTTTGGTCCTCCTGCGCCCCCCGTTTCCCCCGCGCCTCCCGCGCCTTCCGCACTGTCCGCCGCTCCATCCACCGGCGCCCACACGGTGCTGGCGCCCACCTTGTTCCGCGCCACATCCAGCAGATCGCGCGGTGTTGCTGTCTCAGGTGGCGGCGGCGCACTCGACTCGTCCCCGCCGCCACCACCGTTGTCTGCGGGAGTTTCGTGTGCGGAGTGCAGCGAGAGGTGGTTGAAGCAGGCGAGGTCAAGGAGGGCGGGCGGAAGGAGCTGCGGCAGCACCGACTGCAGCGCGCACGAGTCCAGCTCTACCTCGCGCGGCGGCGGCGGCGCTGGTGGCGGCGGAGGCGGAGAAGGGTCATCGAGGAAAGCACTCGTCGCGACGCTTGCGGCGGCGCTCGGTTGCTGCTGTGCGACGAGCAGGCGATGCGGGGGGTGCGTCGCGTGCGAATGTTCTAGGTGCGACAAGTCGCCCGAGTCGCCGCTGAGATTGTGTAAGTTGTGAAGGTCGAGAGACGGGTGTAGCAGCATCGAGGTGCCATTAAGGAAGACGGACGAGCCTTGGGGTGATGATGACGATGCCGGCAGGTGAAGGGGGGAAAGAAAGGATGGTATGGACGACGCGGGGGTGGCGAGGGCGGCGGAGGCGACGGAGGAGCGGTTGCGGTCGGCGTGGGCGGCGTGAGAGAGGTCGACGGCGGATAACTAGGAGAGGAGCAGCAAGCACGCGGATACCGCAGAGAGGTGCGTGGCTGGGGCGATGGGGAACCGCGCATGTGAGTCGCGCCGATGTGACTGGCGTGGCGGAAGGGAGTGAAGGGGAAAGATGTGAGACGGAGCCATGTGCGCAGCGCTCACTGTCGTCTGTCCCCGCTGTCAAATCGTCGAGGCAACGATTGAAAACGCACGTTTACAACTGTAAGGTTACTGATCACCGTGGGTCGCAGCGCGTTCGCCTAATTAAAAGCCAACATGCGTCGAGGAGCACCACTGTATGCCGACGTTAAAATGTCAGTGATCACCGTGGGTCATGCCGTGCGTTCGCCGTCCATTGCGCATTTGACGATTGCCTACTAATTTGAAGGCGACAATTGCGTCTGTCGCAACCTCTAGTTATGAGTTTCACAACTCGCGGAATTATCGTCGTCAGAAGCGCGCGGCTCAACTTCTAGGGAATGTTATCATCAGCGCAAGACGCGGGGAGGCTCTGCACGATGCCGCCAGCTCAGGATGAGCTGAAGCACGACCGCGCCATCGCTGGCTGAACTCATGTCGGCATACGTGGCGCAATCGGTGTAATACCTTATCCTCCGACGCGACACTAACAACGGCCGAAGGACAGGTGAAGCAGATAATGCAAATTACAGATTCGCGAGCACGTGAACTGGACTGATGCGATAGGGGAACAATCTGTTGTGAATGGCATGCTCTTCACGTGCCACGCTACTGTACCACTCCAACCCCTTCCCCTCAAAACACCCTCGACACATTTTCCTAAGAACCCATCCAAACCACCTACAAAGCCTATTTCAACCACTGAAGTTACAAACTTCCTTTTCCAACTCATCCTCTCCAACTCAAGCCTATCAACCACCTCTTTAAATACTCCTAACCACCATAGCCATTCCTAATCCAACTCATCTAAGACTTCAACCAAAATTCCTATTCACCTCCAAGCCCCACCATAAGGCACATTCCATGTGCTTTCCCTTCCTACTCATCAAATATTACCCAAGTCATCTACTTCTTCCAATTATTCTCCTCCCATGTGCCTCCAAGCACATGCCTCCATTTCCTAGTCATCAACATCCACATGCCTCTAATTCATTCCTCCCTTCCTTCCTTTCCCAAGTCATCGAAGTCACCAACTCATCTTTCAAGGATTCATGATTACCACATCACCTCCTCTTCCAAGACACCAAAGTTTTCCTATCCTCTCCATTCATTCCTTCACAAGTCACCCAAGTTCTCTTCCAACACTGCAAGGCCTACATTTCCAACTCAACAAGTGCTCAACCACCACCTCATGCTCTACTACTAGTCAACTCCAACAAGCATCTCTACAATTTCTCAAGAAGGTTCTTCAATGACAACAATGCCTCTCAAGCTTCTTCATCAAGCTCCTCTCCAAGCTCATTCCAAGCTTCTCCTTCAAGCTCCTCTTCAACTACAAAGGCTCCTCACTAGCAACCAAGTTTCTATGTCTCCAAAGTTGATACTCTCATGCTACTCTCTTCCAAGGCTACCATTGATGGTTACTTTCTCTATGCATGCCCATGTATCCTTCATGGATCTATAAGGCTTGTACTATACTCTCTTTAATATACGTTTATACTCATAAGGCTCTCTCTCTCACATAGTCTACAAAGTAGTTATCAAGTGAAGAGTAGTCTACCTCATACTCCTTAAGAGTATAAGGAAGCTACAAGCTCAAGGGAGGATCATCATCCAGCCCAAGGCTTGAAGTCACTCCCAAGTAAACCATACAAGTTCAAGTTCTTCTTTCAAGTTTCATCTACAGCTATCCCTAGTAAGATTCACTCAAGTAAGTGTTTATCACCGATCTTATTCTCTCAACGAGCTCACACTCTTCTTCTCTTCTAAGTTCTTATCTCGTCAAGCATTTCATCTTACACAAGTTTCTCTTTATAGTCACGAGTTCTAAGCATCATCTTCTCTTCCATCAAGCTCATCTACATATGCTACAGTTCCACTGTTCACTCTTGTCTTGTTCTAGTGTGCAATCATACTCTTTTGTCTTTATCGCAATTCTCTACACAATCTTGTCCGTGCCGTGATAGAATCACCCTCTGGTCTGGGCTTGACCCGCGTCGCGTCTTCCCCTCAACTTGGCTCGGCCAAAAGGCAGTGATTGCAATTGGCGGCTGAGCCGCCAAGTGGCGACATCGTTCATGAATCGCGACGTGATTGGCTCCGCCCCGCACAGATTAGGATTGGAAACTAGCGGACATTTCTGAGGTGAGGTTCATTCCCACCCACCACGCTTCTGTACTGTAAGTGCCGCTACAAAAACTGTAATATGGAAGTTTAAATCAGGCTCTTATGAGTACAATATAGGGAACGTACGAAGATTGCACTATCAAAGCAAAACAGTACATTGAGCGAAGGCATGAGCAATTGCTAAATTGCGAACTAGTGTGGTGATGGTAACGAGCGAAGTGTGGGGTGTGCGACGAACCTGGCGCTGGGGCTGGGAATTATCGAGGCGGATGACCGGAGCGCGAGATACCAATTGAACTGCGAGGTGGGGTCGCGATGTGAACAATGGCGGGAACAGTGGTCGGGGCGAGTGTCGCAAGGTGGTGTTGCGATCAGAAGTTTATCGCTCTCAGGATCACCTCGGGAAGGTTCGCACACTTCTAGTCTAGTGGTGGTGGGCCCTGACCTCAATTACAGAGTAAATGTAAATGCTTATGATGATAAAAATTGTGAAGAATTGAGGAATGAAGAGGAGGGGTTGCACTAGCAGCAGTTGGCATACATATAGGAAACCCTAATTGGGTTGTACTCGCTATGGAGTACCCCACTGCAGGCTAGACAATTATAACATTCTGACACACCCCCATAGCCAAAGTGGGGTGTAATCAGCACAATGAGCAAGCAGGCATAGAGAAGGAGTTCACTATAGTGAGCAAAGCTAGAGTTAATCACAGCGGGCAAGTGAGGAGGAGGAGGAACTGTGGAGGGAGAGAAGATGGGAGGCAACGACTGAAGCTGCAAAGGCACGGGCACAGGAGCGGCTGACTCAGTGGCTACCGAAGTAAGGGCAACGGACTACTGGAGTAAATGGCTCCGCGGCTATAGACGAGCGGCAGGAGCAACGGACCCACTGGCGACTGGTGCAACAGGCTCACTGGCTACCGAAGCAAGGGTGACGGACTACAGGCGCTGCAGACGACACGACAGCTACCTTCACACAACCTCCTCCAGCTGCCCCACACCCTCGACACACCCCCCCTGCTCAAACCCTAGTTCCACTCCCACAGCACCCCCCTTTCACACACCCCTTGCTGCACCCTAGGTTCACTCACACCCCACCCCCTAGCACCACTCCATCGACTCCCACACACCCACCCCCCTCAGCGGCAGCTGCAGTAGTGGGAGACCGAGGAGGAGGAGGAGCACGGGAGACCACACACCCGCCACCCCCTACTCGCCACCCCCAAACCCTAAAACAGGGCAAGGCGGGATGGCGGGTAGGGAGGTTACGGGGGGGGGGGGGGGGGGGGGGGGGAGGGGGGGGGGTTGACGCGCGGCCTCCGAGGGCGCCAAAACAGGCGGCAGAAGGGGCGGCGTGGAAAGGGCAGCAAGGTCAGGGAAGAGGTACGGTAGCATGAGGCGGCTCAGTGCAGCAGTGGCAGGGGAGGAGTAGCGCGCAACTACAGCGTCGTACAAGGTCTGAGCACTCTTGTACTGGCTAAAGTGCGCACGCTCAGAGGTAGGCAGGTGGCGATGCACAGGAAGACGTGCAGTAGCATCGCGTGTGGCCCACTGTGAGCGAACAGTGGCGTCGGCATCAGCAGCAGGGGCAGGAGAGGCACCAGAAGTGAGGACAAAGAGGGAGAGACCGTCTGCCCTATCGCACTGTAGGAAAAGCTGCAGGTCATCTACCCAGACGTCAAAGTCAATGGCCCGACCCTCAGCGTAAAAAGCGAGGGCACTAGGGGTAGCCATGACAGCAGTAGACTATGAGAAGAAACGAGAATGAATGAACTATGAATGAACTGAGTACAAGTACTAACCCTAATTGGGTTGTACCCCTTATGGGCTACCCCACTATAGCCTACACAATAAGCACAAGCTATATGTTCTGACACACCCCCATAGGCAAAGTGGGGGAGAACAAGGGGTCACAAGACCAGTCAAGCAAAGCAAAGCAAAGCAAGCTCAAGGTGGATCACAAAGTCACCACACATTCTGAGCACCAGTTCAAAGCCACAAGGCCAGTTCACATGCAGGAGTATATATATATATAGGACTAGACAAGCAAGAGCAGGTGTATATATATGCAACAGTACAAGCAAGGTCAAGAGGTGAGCAAGTGAGGCAAGACAGGCACAAGACCCAGCTGCGTGCAGAAGCGCTGATGATCACAAGACACAAGTGCCTTGGTGAAGACATCAGCAGTGTTGGCCTCAGAGGCCACGTACGCAAGCCGCAACTGACCACGCCGCTGTAGCTCACGAGCAAGGAAGTAGCGAAGAGCAATATGCTTTGTTCGGTGCTCCAGTCTCTGCTCTCGACACAAGGCCAGCATGGCCTTGTTGTCTACGTACAGAACAGGAGGAGAACGAGGCGACTCTCCAAGGTCGGTCAGCACGTAGGTGAGCCAGCCAAGCTCCTGTGCAGCCATGGCGCCGGCGTAGATCTCAGCCTCACAACTGGAGCCGAGAATAGAAGACGAGCGAGTAGCCTGCCACGAAACAGAGCCGGAACCAAGGCTGAAGGTGTAACCCTGTGACGACCGCTGCGTAGCCTGGTCCTTAGCCCAAGAAGCGTCCGCGTGCCCA